GACGCTATAGTTCTCCAGTGACAATCAATCGGGGGTGTGTGAAACAAGTTGGCTATGTAAATAAACAAGTAAGGAGTGTATACGAATGTCCGCTACGGAGCTACTGAGGAAGGCTCTGTGTTACTTCAGAGGAAAAGACCGCAAGTACGTCAAAACTGGAGTGATATGAGCGTCCAGAGGAATGATTATGAATTAAGAGTACGCACGAAGCCTTATTTCAGAGAATATAATGGTAGGTGGTGCAGTTTTGAACAAAACATGCATCACTGATACTGAGTATTGTTTGAATTGACACTGTTGTTGACAATCTAGTGTTCAAATATCTGCCTACCCATAATGTCTGCATGTTCTGTACTGGAATGTGATGCAGTATCACAGTGAAACCTGAAGAAATCCACTCTCCACATCAGTACCATCGAAATACATGCAGCACCATATTCGGCTTGGGACAAACCTTCTATGGCTATCCAACTATGCGACGGGGCCCCTTGGTTGGACCAATGTTGATCCGCAAACTTAATTCGGATACAAGAAAATAAGTGATGTCGGGGGTGAGAAAATCGGTATTATCTTGAAAGAAGGGAAGCCTAGTTTAACCTTCGATGTAACTCCTTGTAGATTACAGATCTTTTTCCAGAGCAAAGCACTGGAGTTAAACAGAAACTGCTTGATCTAAAAAATATGGCGTAAATTGACACACCATGTTATATAACTATGATTAATCCACTTGTTCCTATGTCATAGCATTCTCCAGTACAAAAACAAAATTCGCCGGCATCGAGCGGACCATACCTTACCTCCATGTGGAGGCGCGCATACAGAAAGAAAACAGCCGGTTAACCAGTGGTTTATAGATTATTCTGCTACCCAGATAATGTTATGCTCCGAGAATAGAGCGTACCCTGGATTCTACTTATTCAGAACGAACCGGCGAGGGATCGACATTTTCCTACCTCTGTGCTTTGACAATAGGGTGATAAAACAGCTGACCACTAAACGAAGTGGCTTGCTTCTCGCCTAAATTATCGAGAATGCTTCCCGTAGCAATGGAAGTAACAGCGAACAGCAGGAAAGGCCCGCGCCCAAATTGAGAAAAGTTCGAATAAAAGCTCAGTTTTCGAGAGGAAGGTGGTTTGTGTGGGGAAATGCTTTGTACGGATCCGCAGGCGATTAACGGTTTGGATGACTATCGATCTTTTTCGTGACCCAGTGCCAATTCTTCACAGGTATGTAACCTTATCATAATTGAAAGACCAAGTTTTTATGACTCTGTTTTATTCTGGACTGACCATTGTCTGGATGATATACCAGCCAAGAAACGGGACAATTCTCCCGAATGATGTTCTTCACGAGGCGGAAGTGCTGCACTGCTACATTTTTTTGCTTTTATTCACCGTGAACAGAATTTTGAAATAAGTTTGAGTGAGTTCTAGGAACACGCATCATTGTCGGGGTAGTATAACGTTTCACGACTTCCAGTTTGTATGTAAGTGGCGCAAAAAATAGGAAGTTTCATCTACTGACCATTTCACATATTGAAGCATACAAGTTAGAGGAATGGACTACCATTCGACTTCCATTCACCAGATATGGACAAGTGAGCCGAACTTGATTAATAACACGGTAAAATGATGTGAACTTATGAAAACTAAAATATATTAAACATGACGCCCGTAAAACGCGGTTCCACGATGTTTTGTTCCAACTGTATCCATACAAGTTAGACCAAACCACTGTCCCTTGCAACACCAACAAGTTTCCCAAAAAATATTAGAAACCTTCAGAAGTAAATCGCACATCTTCCTTAAATTAAATGGCATTCTCCCCGAGATAGTACACAGAGTGAGGGATAGGTACATTATAAAAAATGTTGAAGTCGTTCGAATATTTGGTGGCTTGTTTAAGACCTACTGAAGAATTTTCAAGAGATTTCGACAGGTAAAACAATTCCAAGCCAGAACGTCTCATACGTTGTCGAACTGGACCTAACCTGCCCAACAGCCGGTGGGCAGACTTATGACATGCTGAGTCTTGCATACATAGGGTTGGCTGCAACGAATATTTATCTCGTTGCGCCCCGCCCATTGGTTGTCTGTGTTCTGATTGGCTTAGCGGATAAAGGTGTGCACAACTGCGTTCTCTAGAGGTCACCACAATTATCAGCATTTTAACGTCCACTCGTCTTTGAATATCAGGTTTCGTTTTTACTCTTCTTTTCTAAGCTTAGGGCGATAAAACCCTACGGAACGTGTTTTGGGTTTAAGCAGCCTGGGGCATTTCATGTTTTCTTTTTTTAATGACAGGTTGATTTTCTACTGTTATACGTAATTTTCGGCGGGTTGATTTCGGTGTTCAAGATCTTCAAGCTTTGCTCGGAACTGTCTGGCATCGTAAAAGGTAGTTGTCACCCAGGGAAAGTTCCCGGAATAAGATCACGGGTACTTTTGGACGGTAAACGGGACGCATGCTAATGAAAAGATCGTAAAGGGTATTTTCAGCGCATTTCCGAAGTGTACCTTCCGTTACAAAACGAAAGCCTTACGTGATCGCAATGGTTTGATAATATGGTTACTCTGTCATACTCCACCGTCGGGTATTCTGAAATCAGTAGTACATTGATCCCTATTTGTTAGTACTGCAAAAAGCAAACCCGTCGAAAATTCAGGGAGACTTAATGGTGTTGGCTCATTTTTTAATTTGATTGGACGATTGTTGAGCGCCAGTTATAGTATTGCACGACTCTTTCGCCTCTGCTCGATAATTCAACTAATTCTGACCATTTAATAGACATGTCGTCTATCTATCGAATACTTTCACTTCGTGGATAAATGTCTGCATCCATTGCACGAAACAAACGGGACACACGAAGCCAGGTTGGTGTTCGGGGGTAGTTTCCACTTTGTTACTAGTTTCTCCACTCTAGTTAAAATATGAGCAACTTTTGATTGATGATTTGATGCATCAGCTACACGATTTCTGTTAATTACAATTCTACTTGCAACGCGTGAATTCGCCTGACAATATTGACACGTTTCATGCAGTGTGTGCAGTATTTTCCAGAAGAACTGATTACTCCGGAGGCCAAGCAGTGTTTCTAGTCGGTTGTAATTTTGTGAGGGAAATATTCACCCCGGGATAAACTGGTAGCAAGAAAGAAGAAACCAATATCTTCTCTTCTTTGTATGGGTTGTTGCCTTTGACTGAGTTTCTCAGTGTCCAGTGAATAATATCCACTTTCTATGTGGCTTAAACAACAATTTGTCATCAGTTTTGCAAAGTTAGCAATGAACGAAAGCTAGGAAGTTTTACTAAAGATGTGAACGGGTCGTAAACTTTTCACCTCGTGAGTTATTTTATTCCTATTGGAACCCATCGGGTGAGTGAACAGTAATCAACCAGTGACAATTTTAAACAAGCTTAGGTCCCCATCCCAAGTTCTCAGAGTCTGTAGACTAGTTTCTGCAGCTTGTGAACTCGCTATTGCGTGATCTTTGGACTAATCAGCCACCGACCAATTCAGACAACTGTTCGATTTTTGGCGAGCTTAACTCTCATCTGTGCTGACGAAGGAAGTGATACAGTGGATTCCTCGAAGTATTCCCACACTATAAACTGTGGTCCCACTAAAAATGAAACCCTGGTGGAACAAGTCAAAGTGCCCCTTTCTGAAAAAAGGTTCTCATGAAGACCAGTCCAGATACGTGAATGTCTACTAAAGGTTTGATTAAGTGCTATCATATTTAAGTCAGTTTGCTACGTAACTGTATCACAATGGGGATGAACTGGGTAGTGTGCTGGACCGTGCTGCGGGAATTACGACACTTACAGTCATATCACTCTTGTTAGAAAATTCCCCTTGTCCTGCTGTTATTCTATTAGAGCCACACTAAAAGCGAATCACTGGATTTGAGCTCTGCTCCTATTAGAGTCTATCCTCAGTGCATAACTTGGGCCTTTGTGGAAAATCATGAGGGGCAGGTCAATTGATCGTAACAGTGGGTCGTCGTTCGAGTCGGGGTGCAAATTAATCAGATGGCTCAGGCGTGGACAATTTCGCTTCTTCGGACGCTATAATTCAAGGGCGCCTAGCGGGCGCTGGCGCACTAGTAGTGATGTGCTCGCTCCACATGTCGGATGACCGCAGTTCAAACAGAGGCTGTGCCTTGCTGATTAGCTCAAATGAGAGCCTAAATCAAGGCCGGGTACCTGACACACGCAGAGTCTAAACCAGATGAACCATGAGGCACATCATCCCACACATACTATGGACTTCACAAATCGATTGATGCGCAAGTACACAGAGCAGTTGCATCTGGGAAAGAATCCCACATTGAACACAAGAGGAAACCATGTTGGAACGGTAACAAACTTTGGACAGATACTGTGGACAGCCTACACAGAATGTACAATTGCATAGATAGATTGCCCGTCTTAGTTGGATTACGGTACTCAACTCAGGTCGACAGGATACATTGCCAGCTTTTCCAGAGCCTGCAATATTTAGCCATCACTTGTAAATTCAAGAAAGCTAAAAATGCTCCCAACGAAGAATGGTCTCATTATGACGTGTTGTATTCCCCAATGTTCTCGATCAGCGTTTTTACTTGTTGTGGTCCATTTGGGTCAGCCTTTGAATTATGTTTTGCAATTCTTGCATTTTATTGTTAATCGCGAAAACTTCTGAAGGACTATTTCTGGCATGGTCGAACACCGTTTGTCAATCAGAAAAGGTCATAAAACTATCGTTGATGACGCTGCTTTACTGAGCGTGCTACAATTGCATGGATCTTTGAGATATCAAAGTACTATCTTTAAGGTGACTATCTACAAAGTTGATCAGCACCCTAGGAAAGTCAACTACTTCTACTTTTTGCATCTTTCGTCAATCTCAGAATAATGCTGCCAACCGCTACCACTCACTCATATCATGGTGTGCCAACTTGGACGAAGTCTTCGCTCACTCCAAGGGGCCGATGCCTTAAGGAACACCAGTAGGAGATATCTCGAGTATTCCGTCAAGTGTCTCTCACATGCTGTACCTTGTTACGACAGAAAAAGCAGGAAAAGTAATAATAAGAATGACCAGAAAGTCAAGTAAAAGTTTCAAGGTCAGTATGACAATAAAACAATAGTCCGGTTGTGGCACTTACTCACGAGCATGTGAAAGAGTTGGAATAAGCAACTTTGGAGATGAAATGAATCAGATGGTTAGGGTGCTGGGGTGGTAAATGAAATTTAAAAGATGCCACTCTAAAACGTTAGCTAGGGATAGATCGAATATGAACAAGGTGTTTGCTGGTCTGAATACAGTCTGCATTTTATTTGTTCTATATGTACGATGACTGGCTGGCTGGCTCTAATTATTCCGGCGTAATCGTGTCCAAAAGTCTTCATGTTTGTAAACGTGTCGTTTTGGCGCTGCCAACTTCATTCGGATTCGCTGCTCCACCGATTGTGTTACAAACAGATAGAGCTTCGTAATCGCCAGTCCCAGCTGAAGATCGTTTCTGGTTGAAATCACATGTAACGAAATCAGCATGTCCACAGGAGCTGGTATAGACCGAATCAAGACCACCTCAACTTGGCCAACATGGGATGGGCTTCTCCGCAGCTGGGGAGGTGAGAAAGTAAATAAGCGTGTGTAAAACAACCTATGTTGATTGCAACATACGCAGCAGTCTTGTATGAAGGTGAGAGATTGCATTAATCACTAAGTAGGGAGGGGTTTTTGAATATGAGGTATATAGTCCCATAACAATTGCATGATTCGGCGAAAAACTTCAGCACCAATGACAAAATTGGTTACAGAACTAGAAACTCTTGTTTTGATTGCTTTGCTCTCGTTATGACCTTTACACTTTCACCTGCCAATGTCTCGTTGTTCACAGGTTTAAGAAGTCAATTTTTTTCTTAGGCATTTCAAAAACACTTGTTCTCAAAATGAAATGATGTTTGAAAAGGCTTCAAATATCTTCTAAGGAACGACAACGAAGTGCTTCGTCCGTCTGAACATTTATGGATACATCCTCACATTTAGAGAGTAGCGGTGCCGTACCTGGTGTCACCATGGAGAAGTAACCACATAAACAGTCAGAAATAAGTTACATACCCATCCAACAAGCAACGCTACACCAAGCTTAGATCAAATATCGTTAGGGTTTGAGGGATTGATTAACACTGATTTGAACTCGATCTCCTTCCTAATTGGTATGAATACGTACTAACTCTTCTATCCTGGCCTGAGTGACTTGTTGTATCACCCGCATGTGTGGCTATTAATTTCACTGACAGGTTTTAGATTCCAAAAAACTAAATTATACTTGCATAGACGTGATGCAATGCTCACAAGGCTGGTGAAAACTCGTCTACAACGCACGACCGGTTTTTCCCTTCTTGATGCTAATCAGGTCGGCACAGTCCCCGAGTCTCCGTTAATCTCATAGCTCGCTTGCTTGGAAACATTCCGTTACTGAGGTTACGCTAAACCTGCAATCAGCGAAAATGCTACTTCAGGTCATCTATTGGGTTGCAGCTTTTCAATCGTTTGGTTACCCTATACGTCTAAAAGGTCCATGGGATCAGATTTGTCACTTTTCCGTTCTCTTGATGTAGCTGTAAAACGGAGCTGCAGGTAATCTTTTTAGGATTGCATCCTGAATCGAAGAGGCCTTTTGCCTCCTATGTAGAAAAGGTTTGTTTCAGTGCCTGGATCAAAGTCTTCTATAGCAAGAAGCATGCGAATTGTGACTCCGCAGAAGGAAAGTGACAAAAATACGAAGCGTTTGACACCTGTGGCCACAGTGTACTATCCGGAGCGATATCCAAGTGACACTTCCCATTCCTAGCAGGAGGCGCTGAAAGATAGGGCACGAAGCCTAACTCCTTGCTACTGGTTTCTACCCACTTCTGTCTTACTGAATGTTAAACGACCGGGCACCTTGAATGTCTGTGCTAAGCACTAGACACTAGGCCAATCCTTCTCCAGTTGTAGCCTTCTCTACCTATCAAGAAAAATAGCGTGAACCATTTCGTTGCTGCAAGGGACGGTGACATGTGCTGATAATGAACAGGGTATCAAACCTGTTTTCATTCTGCTGTAGTTCTTTATCTTGAGTCCGGCCGGTGAGTGACCGACGGATCCATATTCGCCTACATCGATCTTTTTAAATCTATTTTAGATTAGAAGTTTTAATATTACTGTCACTGTTGTTTTTATCTTAACTCTCACTCACAGGCTTATCAATAGTTGCATTCTTGTAGCTTTCTTTACAAGTTGTTTCTAATGTTGTTTGCGAACCAGCCAAACTGTTATGGTTTTTTTTTACTCATCTGGGCCATGTGTTACTCCCTTCAGACAATCCAAATTACATCACGGAATCAATATAGCAGTTGATAAGATATCGCTTGTCATTGTTTGTCTGCCCGTCATAACTGGATATTGCAGGCAAGGCCAGCATGTCCCAATTTTTTTTAGTTGTAAAGCTTTATAATGGTCAATGGGATAACCGACAGAAGGTCGCATATTTTGTCAGGCATCCTAGTATTAAGACCTGTCCCGCGTGGACGTCAGTCAAGCATAAGACGGCCTAATGCAAAAGCGAACAGCCACTTGCTAATCCAAACCCTCAACTAATCCTCTACACTAATAGGTTTGCTGACTCATTCCTACCTGTTGCACTTAAGATTGGCATTCGTAAACATTCCTGCGTTACTGACCTTCCTAATCGGTCGCTTATAGATAATCGATTGCCGCTTTCCGCGTCGTGTCGTATCATGTGGAATTTTTTCATGCAAGCGCGCATGACGCGAAGGTGCGTTCAGTGAATATGCGGCTGTGCGTAAATGTGTGCCTGGTATGCATACGTGTTTCTGAAAGCCATTAAAAGCATTGAATACGGGCAGGAGGTGCTGTCACTTTCTCGGGTAATTTCTGCCGTGGCCTCTTCAAAACCTAGCCTTAGAAACGCTAGGACTATGGATTGTTTCAAAAGGGCTTCGTAGAAGCACGTGGATTATCTCTATGACATGAGCAGCTCCCTGCTAAGGAGTATCAGACCTACTTCAACAAACCTTTCCATAGTTCAGCTTATTCGCCGCTAACTGAAGTATACTTTCAGCCGATAGGCAATCGGCTTTTCGGCTTAAATCGTTTCCGGTTATCCGTCATCGTCATCAGGCCTTTCCAAAGGTACTGATCAATTAAACAGGATTGTACTGATGTACTGAAACGATCTTGGCGTGTTTGATTGGAGAGTTGGCAAACCTAACCCATCCTCGTGATGTGAGAAGCAACAATTATTTTGTCTCTCATCATTCATCGGGTGGTTATCCAAAGAAGTCACCCATGGGACAGGTGAAACATACCCTCCTCTTTGGTTCTCTTTGGTGAATATTGTGTGTCACGCCTATGAAAGGAAGCTTAGAGAAGTACAGCAGTTATATGTGTAAAATAAATTAGTGCTTCCTCGGAAAACTTATAAGATCACACCAAATTTCTCCAAAATCTTAAGAATAGGGCCATCTGTGTACTGAATTAGGGAGTTTCATTCCTTTGCACACGAAAACCGTCCAGTTCACTTTCACCCTCTTGAGTTTCTAAGTCAGTTGCCATAAAGGGGCTTTCAGCCAATCAGAGCAATGCAGAAATTTATTTGTCGAATGCAAGTTATGTTTGCAGAACAATAGTATACTCTGAAGCTTAGATATCGATGAGAAAAAAAAACAAATTCATGCGAAGCTCCCTCTCGTTAACCCACTGCTGTTAAGGATAGACTGAATCGTTTGTTTGAATGGGAACCGCAATATATGGGGAAAGGCCATGCAAAAATCAAGGTCAAAAGTTATATATCTTCCCATGGCCTAGCAGGACTGCGAGGACTAGAAAGAATCTCTGGTGTACAACAGTTTTTTAATAGTGCACCCGTTTGACATGCTATTCCAAAAAGGGTGAAATCCGAGCCCTGTAATTTGCTCTGGACACAAAGTTTGAGTGCATGATGGACCAAACATGCGTGCACAAATTTCTGTTTTCAGTTATAATACGAGAATTTGCATGGATACAGCATCGTATGTCGGAAACGTAAGCTCACCGTGATAGACTGGAATGAAGCATTTCATGTGTTTCGTCAGCACAGGTCAACAAAATGCAGTGTCTAGGTTGAAATCTGATTTGCTCTATGACTGCTTCATTACCTTCTACAAGAACGATAAGTTACCATTTGTCTCATGAAAACGGACTGGGGGGATAGGGGGAGGGGGGGGGGGGTCAAATTTAGTGGAATATAAGAGTTGGTGTGATGCACAGGCATACTTCGTCAGAGTGCATTAAGAGACTCAGCTGCAAATAGTACAAGCTCAAATCCTCAGGGAAGGAAGGCTTAATTCAGCAAAAATAGTAATCTCCCGTTTATGTAGTTTTTCGTTGCACGGTTAGTAGAACATTTCTCCGTAAGCACAATATCACTTCTCAGCTCAAACGTCCACTTTTCGTTTATACAGCATGAGTTAAGGCGCTACACCCGCCACCTAAGGGACGGATTGGCGGCTGAAGTAATATGACTTACTGAACTAACTCTCATTTCGCCACATAGAACAGCTGACAACTTGCCCACCGATTTCTTTCGGGAACTTATTTGTGATTTGGCCGCCGTTTTTGAGGAGGCCATTTGACTGAATATTATATGCTTCCTATGAGCTAAAAAAACGTCCAGGTGAGCACCTCTTATTCAAATACAGAGTTCAAAGCGAATCTATAACAGTACGAACAGTGCGAAGCAGAATTCTTGCGCTGTTGTGATAGGAAACGCAATCGAAAAAGATATTCATACCCGAAAGGCCTGACCAACTTTGATCGGATTGCGTGTTCGTAAATCATTGGCGTAGTGTTGCCTCAAATCGACCCGGATCACACCATGCGGCATCGTTTTAGTATCTACTCGGGCAAGAACTTGTGGAACACGCGTGTTTTGATCGAGTTCTTTGAAAATACTGTCAATCTGCTGTGGGCGTTCAGCGAAGCAGTTAGAATCACCGGGAACACAAGCATGTGCTGCGTCCAGGTCACATCTAGCAAAGAGTAGAAGATAAGCAAAAAAATCATTCCAAAAGGATTTCGGAGAACTTGAATTAGATACTTAGAGGGGAGAAACCCATGAAACAGACTACGGAAAATGTGGACCTGAGTATTTCACGTTTTTATTCCGTAACAACCGCTCCACATGTATAACTTCTTAAATAGGATGACATTACCAGGTTTTCTTATGATTTCGATGAGAAGTGATAGCTTTTGATAGTTCACACAGCATTTCCTGATAAAGATTGATACAGAGCACAAATATCGATCTAAATAAGGATTTGAATGCATGGTGTGTTTCTTTTACACTGCGATAATGGGTGTTTCCTCTACTTCCGAGCTTGTTTCGGGGGTGATCTGAAACTTAGGTGTGTGGTTTCGATCCACAAGATGATGTACGTTACCCGAAAACTGTCAACACTCCAACCAAGTCGAAAAATTCCACATGGTATTTGTCATTCGCAAGACAGATTCGCCCTTAACAAATACCACCTAGGCCTCTAGAATGCATAGTTTATTTCTTCCACGGGTAACCGTATTCTGGTGCTCTGACTAGGATCATATCCAAAACCCGAATGGTATATCAAAAGCCGAATGGTAATGGAGGTTCTTCGAACTCCGATCAGGAAGCACGCCAAGTGATAATGCGAAAATGGATGTTGCATCCCCCAGTTTATTGAATTCTTGGTGCCTCGTGTGCATCCACTGATTGCTGATCAGGTGGTTATTGATCTGTTTATTGATATTAGACTCACCAGACTTGGACTGACGGTTCAACATCTGAACCTACGCTAAACATCACTTGTTAGAACGGTGTACCTTTCATTAGATGGTCACAAACATTCGTTATTGCCTTTTTTGACAGGTGAAGCAACAGCATTTAAGTGACGGTACTGGCACAATGGAATCCTATGCTCGCATGATTCGGTTCAGTTTTTTTTTCCAAAATGAGTTAGCTGAGTTACAGTCAGTGTCCTGATGAGGACCCCCCACCTCTTTTAGGTAGTCCGTGCATGTGATCTGATTTTTCACACGGAACGCTATCACTTCATAGAACCATTAAGAGAATATTACAGTGGAAAATATGGTGAGGACTTATAGAACCAGATATAGCAGACGTGATTTGTCAACTGATCTTTCTTGAAGCATGCTCAGTTTGCATTTCGTTACTGCTAAAATTGGAACCTGTATATCCGGGATATGTACCAATATTTCTAAACAAGAAAATTGTATAGTTTTACCTCGTTTGAAAGCGGAACAGATCACTTGAATCTCGCAGGTATTCCCTTTTTCAGAAAATAAGCAAATTAGTACATGCATCTCACTTTAGTTTTTGGTGTGCGGTTAACTGAGAAGCAAGACATACGCATTGGAAACAAAATAAAGTAACGAGGAGAGCTGAACGCTAAAATTTGGGATAAAAGTTTAAATTCCCCCATACACTTAGTTACTTCGTAGCACGATGAGTGAGGGAGCGTCCCATTAGGATTTTAACTGATTTCCCAGCTCAGAAATTCGAAACCCCATTGTTGGAGATTCAAGTGTAATGTGACAGGCACAACGAACATACCTATACCCGTTTCCAAGAAACGTCTTTTTGTATGAAGGAGGGCACTGGCTGGGGACGCAGCGATATCCACCCACGAGGTTCACACAGGTCTGACTGGCGGCAGTGGCGTATTTGGGCTGACATACATCTTCGATTTCTGCGCATTCGTCAATATCTGTTTTGGAAACAAGAACAGAGTGTGTAAAATTATGACAGTCTATGAGTTGTTGAAAGTTGCAGTATTTGTTGGATTTACATTCATATTTCTCCATTTCGTCTCGATGGAACTATTCTAGTTGGTCCATCTCGAAGAAGGAAGCACTGTACCGGAGTTTCACCTTTATTACAACTGATCAGTAAGGCTAACCTATAGCTCTAACTGAATCCAAATTCCAGACGTCTGACATGCAAGACGAGTTGGATGCCGTTACTCTACTTGTGCAACACGAATGCATCCTAATCGGAAAAACGGACGGAATAAATCTCGAGTTCAACATATTGGATGACAGCATAGTAGCAGTTCTGTTCGTGTCAGCGTAGGAACTGGATCTCATGGGAACTGGTCAGAAATCGCATCAGGCAGGATTACGACAAGACAGCCTGAGGTAACAAACTAGTGAGCACCAAAAAGTGATGGGAATATCCACGTGTGAGGTTAGTGGAGTTGGACAGATTTTGGGTACAATATGAAGAATAGCAGATGAATTTAAGAAACTATACTGTTTGAATCACATGTTGTCCAATAGAAACTCCTATGTTCCGCTTTCCATTTTGTCGTGCTTCACATTGCTTCTTTGTTACTCTAGCCCTTTACTGTCTGTCGTTCCGTCTTGCTCTTTTACACTGAGCATCCAAAATTGGGTTCCGAAACCACATGCTGCCGAGTGAATGAAAAAACAATCCAGGAGCAAAAGCCACTCCAAAACGTGTAAAGACAAGAGTCATGAATTCATGTGTGATTCCTGCAGTGTAAAAATGTGAAAACTGGAATGTGCTCAAACATCTAACGCAGCTGAAGATAGTTTGACAGTGCAAAGCAAGCCCTGGCTTGCATTCACTCCAGGCACACTTGGAATTGTTTAGTCCAGTCCTACAACCAGCTGCTGCTGCACGCAGCTTGTTTGTCCGAGAATAATAACAATGAAGCTGCACAGTGATGGTTGTATTTTATATGGAGTGCTACCATGCTCATTCTGTGACGCTGAGTTTTGCTTGCTCGAGCCGACCCTTCTATTGTCCAAATTTTGGCACCTTTGCATTGCGGGCCATCCAGATCGTGCCTTGTTTTGGGGATTGACAGCTGCTGCCACAATCGCTGTATAGAGCTCCAAGTTTTGCACATCTATTCCTGTCAAAATTACGGCAAAAAGCCAACAGAATGTAAAACAGGTTAGGAACAACGGTGTCAACGGTTCACCGCTCAGATTCCTCGATTTTAAAAAACTGAACCTTGGCTATAGGAGAGAGAGTTTCAATTTCTCCCATAATCATCAACCTCGACAATCTAGTCTTTACGCGATGCAGTCGGGCAAAACTTGTTATCTGTTGGTGGTTTGAGGAGATTTGGGAAGTTTCACTGGAGAGCCAGTCCTGTCCTGATGGAACTTCGTGAAGTGCACACTCATGACGGTTTCCAACGAAGACGAAAAAGCTGTAAATTCCTTCTCGACTTTTTGGACATAGACTGGCTTCACTTTCGTCATGCAAAAAAACAGGAACCAGACGAACGACGCGAAAACGGACAAGTTTCAACAACGAAGGCAAATTAATATAGTTATATGCTAATTATTTAGGTCCCTATTTAGGGACTGTAAATGCATATGTTCTCGTGCTTACCGATAGAGTTTAGCGTGCAAACGTCTTTACGCTAACACAAAAGCCTTATGAAACAATACACGAGGTCTTTCGTTATTGTATACTTGAAGGAAGTGGCCAGTATGACTATACAAGGATACAGGAGAAGCAGGCTTTCAAACTACATTTCCCAAGGATCATGGTGCAACCATTTACATGGGTTTCGATGACCTCGATTCTAAAGCCACCTGACTGGCCTTGCCTCGCCAAGACACCAGGCACAACACAAACCTTCCTGTAAAAATGAACTTAATTGTTCTCTAGGAACGAATGAATGGTCGTAACACAGTGAGCATGTGCTGTCTGAAACAAAAGACTTCTATTTGTATCCTCACTCTGTGGCGCACAATGGCTGTACTGCCTGTGTTTCACAGCGCAGAACAATTTGATATTGCACAAGTGCACAGTTCATTGTTTTTGTTGTTTCACCAGGGACTGGAGGTAGCACCAATATCGAACTGCCGAATGACATGAATAGGGCTACCGAAGTAGACCGATTAACTCAATGCTGATCGTTGGTTTGTTCGCTGAGCCGGGCAACATACTGATGATTCGATTGATGGTGAAACATCAGCAATCAAATTGCTTAGCTCATTGAACAAACCAAGGACCACCTAAGCTACCTGAGCTACCAACCTTATCTTCGAAATCTAACTCAAATTTTACTGAACATTAACAAGAACTAGAAGGAAAGTCGCTGGTTGAACAGTATTTTACAATGTAACTGAAACCATGCACTCCGGTGGTCCCCAAACTCGGAGTGGTACACGAAGCTCCTACAGAGAGAGTTTCAGGGGTTCCGGGAGACGAAGGAGACCCGTAGAATTAGAGACTTCGTTTACTGAAGCTCGGCCTCTTGAACTTGAATTTTAACAATTTCCATGCTATTTTTAGTTTCATAATTCTATCGTTCATTAGTCAAGGAGTTTTGCACGTTGCGTGCTAGCGTAGCAGATGTTTTCAACTCTGAGCCTCACCAACTAAATCCGACATAGGTGAATAACATCGTCTCATGAAAATAAAATGTTACATTTCCATGTATGCAGCACAATGACTGCTTGTTTTCAACCGCGTTAGGTTCAGGTGCTCCAGGTGCGCTAACACACTTTTAACCCTAACGAGGTAAGAAACCCACCCGTCAAAGCGCTTAAGCAGATTACCATAATCCCCTCTTCCTCGTGGGGTGACCAATGTACGAAGGTATTATCTGTCGATGCCATAACGAACAGTAATATGGTAGGCGAAATGACAAGCGGTGGGCTGGTCGAAAAATTTTGCATACCATCGCGTACTGAGGTGGATCTTGGAGTAGGTGGGTGAGAATAGACCGACAGGTGGCTAGTTCAGCTTGCAGCGAACTTACTGCACTGCGCCAGTCTGTTCGTCCGACTGATGGTGTCTATATCCCGCCTCCCTCTATCTTCATCCTCATCTAGTTATGTTGTCTGCCAGACTGGTAACAGCTGATGTCAAGGTTGTTCTTCCTAATTTCGGTGTGCATGTCTGCTTTATATAGTCCGATTCAAACAGATGTATGTTTCTAATGTAACTGATTTGCTTTTCATGAGGCAGCTATACGAAAGATGAAGTTGCATTTCATTTTTGTCATAAATGCGAATTGTTCGTGAAATTATTGACAGTGGAATAAAAAACGGCACAGAGAATGCTGCGCCAGAGAAAATAAAAAATGTTATCAAATAGTATAGTTGTTTACAACAACGTGTGGAACTGTGAATGGTTTTGATCAGCTTTAGTTAGATGTAAATCACATCTAAGTGTTTTCTCACTGTGTTTCCATCGCCTTATTTTTACTCCATCAGGTGTCTTAGATAGCTTGAATTCTGAGTGGCGAAATCGAGAAACTCGACCAGCGCAGTATGACACAAACCCTTCACCAGCAGAGGAGCCAGCGCATAGTTCTGATGACCCCATGAACTGAATGGGGATCTGAGGCAGGAAATATTTTGTCCAATCAAATTGTTCCCCAAGAAACAAGCAAGGAAAGTGGCTGCAAGCCTCCTTTAAGTAAAATCGCCTCCACAACTAGTAAGATATTTGTTTGCCTAAACGAGCGCGACATCCAAAGTTGTATAAGACACCGGGACTTCTACCTGCGGTACATTCCAACCGGCCTCTTCCGTGAATTGGATCTCTGATAGAGCATGTACCATGAGAATTATGTGTTCCCGTAGATAGGGAGGCTCTCTGGATCCAAAAGGATAGGAAAACTCGTTTGAAACGTGCGCAGATTGTTTTACTTGATTCGTTCGACTGGTCCCCAGAAGACTCTTGTCAGCGAAACCATGGAGAGTGTCAATGGCTCTCTGACACCTAACAAAGCAGAGCACTCCAACTGTTGGGTACAATAAATCGAACAAGAGTTCTGTTTGTTACCCAATGATTCAAACCCGAACCGTCAACCTTGGACATTACCGTGAACAGTGTGCATGGAGGCCCATTCAGCCCCAAAAATTCCTTAGTGTATGTACCTACTCAAGCGCCATCTTGCTTTAGGTACCTACAATCTATCACCTACCCTGTTCAAGGGTGGCGGGAAATTTTTAGCCAGTGCCCTTCTAGCCCACTTGCTTTCATCTGGAAGAAAGAGTTCCCTCCAAATTGCTGGGGTGAGTGGGATTTCGACAAGCTGGATATTTCACTGACCACATCTTCGCACTCCGCCAGATGTTGGAACAACACCATATGTACAGATGATCCAAAATCCTGGTGTTCCAAATAGGCTTGCTTTAAAGGTGATTTCCAGAATTTGGCCACCAATTTGGTCCCTATATTTGCATAATTTTAAGACGTGAGTAAAGATATTAGGAACTCTGAAAAAGCTTTTCCACAGGAAGTGGCGCCCGGCAAGAATGCCTGTTCGCAGACTTCACTGTCTTAATAGATGGAGACGAAGTTCGAGCGAAAGCGCTGCTGAATAAACTTATCAGCGTGAGAACATCTTTCTTTATTCGTCTTGCACCTACAGATTACAAATTCACGCTTCAAAGCCCGCATTCTTCGAACAGGTTTCATGCTATTCCAGGAGAAGCATGGGAATGTTACATACTCGGCAGTCCCGCTAGTACTGATTTTAATGAATTTAATGCCAAAATCTCAAAAGCCCGAATTTTGTCTGCCAATTTGTCACTAGTTATTTCAAAAAGTTATTTTAGCGGCTTCAAGGATCGAGTGTGACAGGTTACAATAAGGGCTGTGTTGCATAGGTGAGAGGTAGAGTCGATGCTGACAGATAATTTGTGATGAGTTCAGGTTTTCGACTACAAATGCTTCGGTTGACCTCAAAGAATTCGTAGAGGTAAT